GGCGGCCCTGCTCTTCCCAGCCCGGCGGAGGCTCTCCTCTGCCCCGAAGGTGGACGCTTTGAGGGTATCTCCGGCTGTAGCATGCCCTTGCCAAGCTTTGTTGCTTGAGCAGTGGTTTAATGCCAAGTGCCATCACCCTCACGGCCTTCAAAGCCTCTATTCTTGCTTCTTAAGCTTTAGCTCTCGGGGATACAAGCCCTGTCTGTTTTACTTGTATATGCATGAATTTAACCTTTCATCTCAAACTCTACGGCTTCAGTTCCAGAGCAGGGGGGCTAGGTTTGTTAGGTTAGCAGTGGAAGGTGGGGAGATGATGGAAATCTTGCTGCTCCTGCACCTTGCAGCTGTAGTATGACATCCAGGAAACTGACCAAAGTTTGGAGTTGTCCATTCTCTCTGTTTCACAGCTGAGCTACTGTGAGAGCTTGAGTGCATCCGTGATTTGCCTCTTCTGACCAAACATGTAAATCTAAGGCGTGTGCCGGTATCACGTTCTCATGGTGCTAGTTAAAGGCCTTAAATTAGCTCAATGCACGTCCCCTTCCAGTGTTGCAGCTAGTAATCAGAAACCTCTGTTCTAAGGATATTTCTCTCGACTTAAGACATCAGATTAATTTGGAAGCTTTAGAGCATCGTCTAATGTACGCTTAATTAATTTGGCAAGACAAGGATGTCATATGGAAGAGCTGTGTACATCTGCTACAATACCTTCCGTTAGAATGCAAGAATAATTAGTTAAATTATTACCATCTCCAGTTGCAGCTACAATAACAGATTTTACTAGTATTGGTATGAAGTTCTGTTTAATGATGCTTCAGATACTGACATCTCTGAAGACTTGCCATGTTCCTGAGAACTTAAAACTACAAAAACAAAGATGAATTGAGGTTTGAATGAGTAAGAGCAGAGCATTAAAACTATAACACTTGCTGACTATTTTCTTTCTGTGCTCTCTTACAGGAAGATCAAGGCACACTGTGCGGAGCCGTTTACCGAGTACTGGACCTGCATTGACTACACCAACCTACAGGAGCTGCGGCGGTGCCGAAAGCAGCAGGCAGTGTTTGATAACTGTGTGCTGGAGAAGTTGGGCTGGGTGAGACCTGATCTGGGACAGCTCTCTAAGGTAACTTCATACCTTTTCCACAGCCAGGTTTATCTCTCCATTCTTATAAACACAGGTCTCAAACTCTTCTCCCAGCCAGAAGGTGATTCGTGAACTCAACACTAGACTTAATAGGAGTCAAGACACTGCTGGCATTCTCCAGGGTTGATTTCCCACAAGACTTGCACTTTTCTTAAACAATAACACTCTTACTTTTTGCTTTTCCTGGTGGAGAGACCTTTCCTTTAGGAGTGAAGCTCACACACATGCCCCTCACCTCCCTTTTTTAGAAGTAGTCTGGAGATAGGAGCTCCCATCAGATCAACAATGGTGTTTGGTACTTCTTGGTAGTCCTTCCTTTAAATTCTGATTCAGTCTAGCTTCTCTAGTAAACGCTGTGAGAAGTTGTATCATTTCTTCTTTGTTCTTTCCAGGTTACGAAAGTGAAGACAGACCGTCCTATGCCTGAGAATGCCTATCACTCTAGACCTAGACCAGAGCCAAATCCACCCATTGAAGGAGAGCTGAAGCCTTCTGTATTTGGCAGTCGGCTCTTTTTCTGGTCCTGGTAAAGTGGGCAGACTGACTATGCTGTAACTAAAATGCAAAGATGTATTGCTTGCAAATGTGAATTGTCCAGTGCACCTTGGGTGAAACTTTAATCATTAAAGAACCCCAAACTGTTACATGGCTCCACAGACTTCTTTAAACGTACTCGCACATCATGGCAACTAAAAATGTATTCCCCTGTTTTGCACCATGTTCTCTGCAGGAACCTCTTAGTACTGTTGGTTGGTTGATAGTGACTACCAGGGTTGTCTGACTTGTATAAATGTAGCTCGAGTCTTTGAGTACTGCCTCAATCAGTCAAAAACTGACAGAGACTTTATTTAGGGAAACTGCCACTTGGATCAAGGAAATCTTGAGAACAAGCAAGGTGTTAATTGTAGAATCGTTAATGTCTTTCCTCAGTTGATAATTGGTAATTGCATGTTTCTTTCCAAGGGACTCCTGTTTAGGTTTAACCTAAAATCTGTCTTGGAGCAATGGTTTAGTTGAATCTGTGGCTTTTGGTAGGTATGAGGTCAGTACTGTTTCTGACATGAAGATCCTCCTTACTTACCAGGTACTCATTGCTCATGCGGCTAGGTTAGTGCCTTCCACTACTCCAGCAGAAGAATTACACTAGATTTTCAACACTTTTAAGTAAAAACTACCTCCTAGAGCATCTTTCTGTCCCACAAGGAATGTAAGAAGGTGGCTTGTCTTCTGTCTCAAGGCCCTGGCTTGAGGAGTTTGGGCCAGATCCTTCACTGTGATACTCTCTTTCATAGAGGAGTAAATCAGTTGTTTTTTCTAGATATTGTGGAAAATGGAAACCAGAAGTCATGTTTCATAGGAAGCAGATCTCGTCTTTTGTCCACTCCCACCCCATAGCAAGAACCTTATTATAAAGGTCAGAAAAAATGAAGTCGACTTGTTCTCACAAAGCCATGTGCAGTTTAGCTTGCACCAGGCCAGATTGTGTAGCCTGAACCACAGCAAAGACTTGAATAGTGTTCTGCTCCTTGAGTAGCCTACTGTTATGAGGATCTGAAGATGTACCATCTCCTTGTTTGGGGGAGGATTAAACTGTAATGGGGCTGTAGCTGCAGCATGTGTTTCTGCTCCATGGAGCTAGAGGACAAATTGTATAACATTTATCTAAAAATACCTCATGCCCTGTGTGGCTCATGGGTTCTTGCTACTCTCTGCTTGGGTGTGTGGAACTGAAACTCCAGGCAGGTGCTGTGGCATACATGTTTGCATTTTAAAGTAGGTATCATGCTGTCTTTGCAGCTCCTCTAAACCTAGGAGATGGTGTGCACCTTTGCAGTTTGTCCTTGCAGATCACTGCCAGCATTTCAGAGCAGCCACGTCTTGCTGAGGAAAGATAACCCCCTTTTCTGCAGAGATTGAAATTAGGACAAGCTTGAGGTCTAATTACATTCAGCTGAGTGAGTGAAATGAGGTTTGGCCAAGTAGAGGATAAATTGTTCTGGGATGTTAACACGTGTCACATCTGATCTTTTGTTGCTGACCCACTGCAATAGTTAGGCAACCTCGCAGAAAGACTTTCTAGATATTACTTGCCATGTTTTGCTAATAACTTACTATTGTCAGCATAACGTATGAAACACTGCTCTGCTGAACATCTGCTTTTGAATGAACAGGCATGGGCATTCCAGTAGTCAGCCCCTAATCATAATTAAAGAGTATTTTCCCCATTAAATTGCTTCTGAAAAGAATGACATGCATAAATAGGGGGGCAGTTTTTTACAACAGCCTTTTACAAACCCCTCCCTTAAGTTGGCCAGTACTGTAAGCAAAAAAGCCCAAACCCCACTGATTTATGCTGCAGCCTCAAAGGTTTAAGACTGTTCATCTGTTTCATGACAGCTGAATCTACTGCCTCTTGGGTCAGAGGTGGTTGATCCAGTAATGATGCACTGACCACGTTTAAAAGCCAGAATTAACTATCTGGTTGCCTGGATTCCCCCTCCAGTTTCAAGCAGGAGTAGGCAGGTGAATGTACAGAAGAGAACAGCAGAGGAGGACAACGAAGTGGTGAAGTCAAGTAGAATTCAGCTGTACTGTGAGCATTTCTTTCATTAACCTCTCTGAGATAATTGCTTCTTGTCTTTATCTCATAGCTGAATCTCTGCAAGGAAGCGTTGCCAGAGATCTGTTTCTGGGTGCTTTGGACAGTGCCTGCATGCAGCCATTTCTGTTCAAAATCGTTGTGTGGCTTTACTCAAACGTAGATGCCCCCTTTGGAGCTGTAATGTTTTCTTGGAAACTTTAGAACAAGTGAATGTCAAGATTGAGAAAAGACCATAAAAGTGTTTTTGAGGAATGTATCTTGATGTTTTTTGGCAGATGGAGAGCAGATGCGTACAGATTCAACACAGATATTTTGCTGGCGATGGGAGAAGTGTTATTTGTTATGTTGTAGGCTCTTTGCTCTGCCAGAGCTTCTAATCACATGTGTCAAATTAACAAAATGTTAAGCCAGTGTCGTGCTAGCCTGCCACACCATGGGTTAGATGAGGCAGAACCTGCTCTGCTCTTTCAGATTATGGATGGGAAGAGTAAAATCCTGGTGCCCTTTCTAATTGGTGAGGTACGAATGTGCATTCCTGGTGCAGCAGAGTTGTGTGACACTAGCACAGCAGAATTCTCAAGAGAAGGTGCCCCTCCAAGACATGTGGCAGTTTGACATGCCCTGATCTCAAATGGTCCTGCTTAACTCCCAAGGCAAAAGGGCTGAAGAAGGCCTCCTGTTAGCCAAAAAGGCCAGGAGTCCAATGGCAACTTCCCCTCTGCTTGTAGCCACCAAATCTGGCCTTATTATTGTTTTATTACTGGTTTTATTTAGCTCTCTGAGTTTCATAATTCTGTTGCATGTCATATTATGATCTCTGCATATGTTATCATCCTGCTACTTCTAGGAGTCAGTTCAGGTGGAATAAGCCTCTCTAGCATTCGGAAGCTGAGATTGTTAGGCAAAAACCATTCATGGACTCCTCTTCCTCTGCCTTCAATTGCAATACGGTTCTACAATGGACAAATAATTCCCCACATTCATAAGCAAAGAAAAACCTGCATCTTTTTACCAGGGATTCATAATTTTATAGAACCTTTGCCTCAGAACAAGGATGCTGCTGTAAAGCTACAGAAGAAACTTGGCGCTCAGGCTGTGTAAAACCCGTTTGAAAGCTTGCTGTGTTCCCTTGTATGAGGAGAGTTTTGAAACTAGAATCCATCTGGGTATTAATAGGAGATTAAGACTCCCTCTTGTGGCTGCATTAAGCTGATCTTGGGCATCTGTGTGAAGATTTTGCCATCCTGAAAGTCCAAATGCTATTTCTGTATTTCTAATAGAAACTTGATCTGGTCTTTTGTCTTTGCTATAAAATTCAGTTAAACTTTGTCTCTACTTGTTTTTTCCTACTAAAAAAAACCCCTCTTGAACTGAGTATGAAGTGAGAAGAGGAAGAAAAATGGGTTGAAAATGTTCTGATCACCTCGGTCGTGTTTGGAGCGACTTAAGGAAGTTAACGTAGAGCCAGAGTAGGTGGAGGTGGTTGGAAAATCCTGGTGTAAATGGTATTTGCTTCTCTGAATCCATAAAGGAGGTATCCCTGGTGCCGCAGAGGGCGGGATGAATTGGCAGGGCCCATACTAGCAGTGTGTGACAGGCAAACATGGGAAGCTGGTTAATTGCAATATTTAATTTCATGTAAAAGCACATTATTTCTCTTTATTAGGAATAGACACGATTTTGCCAAATGGTCCTAATAATGTAACCCTGTGGTTCTGTTAATAATTTTATGTTTTTCATGTGAGCCCTTCTAGCTGGGGACTTGATCGAAATCTAGGACACCTCCTGCACAGTCGAGTGTGGTACAAATAGTACTTTGGCAAAGGGAGAAGATCTGAGAAAACACAGAACAGCAAACTAGAGGCAAGAAGTCTGCAGTGCTATTTTGGATATTAAGGCAGTAAATCAGCCCTGCAAGCAGAAGCAGATGCTGACCCCAGGCCCCCTCTCAGACCCCAGAGGCAGGTCAGCAACAAGCTCACTTGGCAGTATGGGGGTTATTCCTGGTTTTGGTTTCTTTCTGCTTCAACAGCAAGTTCCTCCAGTCCCTCATATGTGTGGCAAAAGCTCTGGCAAGCCTAAAGCATGCATGGGTCCAGGTTCCTCGTGTGTGTGATGTCTGTGCTTGACGAGAGCAATGCAGCAAGAGCAGGCAGTGAGGGGAACTGCATTGCCTGTGTCTGCCTGGCTGGTTGAGAGCTGCTTCAGGCTATCACAGGGCTGGGACAGAAGCAGAAGCTGCTGGAACATGAACAGTCGGTACCTGACTGCATCCAGGAATAAAGGCTCAAAGGAAATGAGAGCATTTGACGAGGTAAAACCTCTCCTATCTTGCCTGCATCCCAAGCATCTCCCCATTGCTGCTGCCCTCAGTGTCTGCAGAATAGCTTAGATCACGTTTGTCTATTGCAGATGTGTGAACAAAAGGATTCCAACCTGTGTGTTCCTGTGCTTTTGGCTGGGCTGGCAAATGCAGATGGTTCCAGTGAGTGTTTTGCTCACGCTGTGGTCTGCAGCACAAAATGGCAAATGGCTTTTGCTGTTTGGATAAGGTTTAAATTAATTTCTCCCTTCTCACCAGGGGAAATGAGGGCTGGGAAGAACAGCCATGCCTGTTGCTTTGTTAAACTCAGCTTTGGCTCCGATTCTGGCACCAAGAAAGGAAGTAAAATACAGGGAAGAGGAGCTTTATAAAAGAGCTATGGGTCTGCTCCCAAGTTGATAGGTTAAACTGTACAAAACACGGGCTCTGAGGCATTGCTCTGATATTTGTAAAATCAGCATGGCAGCTCTGTCAAGGGCTGTGAGTCACCCTGAGGGTGGTTCAGCTCTTTAGAAGTAGTAGCACAGCCTTCTGCTTCCATGCAAACAGGAGCGAGCGGCTTTAATGGACTCAGAATTACCCCTTTGGTTAGAGCACCGTCTGAC